CCCTAACTGGTCTCCACGCCTCAGACTCCTCCCTTTCCTGCTGCTTTGACACTCATTCCACAGCTCACCCCCCACCCCTACTGCCACCATCCACATTTACCGCATACGCGTGCCCCACAGTACCCCGGATCCCGGCTGCTACACTGCACCACTCCAGGAGGCACTATTCACAGTTTCTATTATTTGTGCTCCAAGGGCTCCCATTTCCAAAAAAAAATACACCATCAATATCGCCCTTTGGGACTGTGCTTGATGTGCCTACCCAGAGAAGTACCCACTCCACTGCGCATTTCCAGGGGGGCAATGTTTATGTTTTTTTCTACAGAAGTGGTGTCCCTGGAACACAACCTTATTGAAAATTTTAATTACACTGTTTCTCTATTTTATGTTATTTTATCAGCCTTTCCTTGGATTCCATTTCTTCCCCTATGGTCTTTAGCCATTCAGATCCATTCCTTTAGCCATTTTTTCTTCAAGACCTCAATGCCTTTGACCTTCCAACAGATCCTTACCACAGATCAATTTATTTGGCTACATTATTTGCAAAACAATCCATTATAGTCTCTGCATTCACCCACTCAAATGAAGGTGTTCCTCCAGGTTCCATTTTTAGCTCCTTTTGCCGACTTACTTCACAAATCTTCACTACGGGAATTCATCTGTACTCACAACTTCCATTGGCATGTATGTCACGATCACTCAGAGGCTCCGAACAATCTCTCCAGCTCCCTTCCTTCTGACATTCCAGTCTTGCATATCCAGTATCTACACTTGAATCAGCCACCTGAGAATCTAGCACATCCCTCAATGAAAACATGTCCAAAATGACATTCTCGATCCTCCCGTCTCAGAATCTCTCATTTTCCTGTGTTTTGTAATACCACCCAAAATGAGGATGATAAATGTCATCCCCCTTTCTCTTTCCTGCTTTAATCCACACCTAATGGATTACCAAATCCTATTCCTTCTTTCTCCCAAATAATTTTGAAGTCCCTATTTAATTTCTATCCCACTGTGATAAGATAATAGACCCCTATTCTATTCAATAATCTCTCCCAACTGATTTCCTGAATCCAGCTTTGTGTCTTCGCCATCTTCCTCTCTGTGGACAAGATCATTCATTTCCCTACTTGAAATCCTTCAATGGCTCTCTGAGGTTTTCAGAACAGTCTTATTTCAAATGGCATCTAAAGCCATTCATATTTAAAGCACTTCTGCCATAAAAACTAATGATAAATTCCTCCACTACAACTTTTCCAGGGCCCAGGCTGCGGCTGCTCTTTAATTGCCCATCTCCAGACAAGATAAAGATCCACCAAGTTCTAGCTTTTTCACAGAAGGGAGCGACCCTTGGAGAAGATCAAATACTCTCTCACCAGGTAACCAGCAGAAGAAAACTATATGCCTCCATATTCTCAGGTTCCTTCATAATGCTGGGGGCAGATAGTAAGTTCTGGAAACAGCCTTTCAAGGCTTCTTGGCACCAGACCTTCCCAATCAAAGGGAATTTCCCTAACATAACCTAACGTCAGCTTCCTAAAGTGAGCATCTGCATTTGCATGAACACCTCCAGACGAAGGAAATGACATTGGTTAAGAAGTGACGTTTGGCCACGCGCTCGCTGGGGCCAGCCACAGCGCCACAACACCGGCAGGCTGCGGTGGGGGCTGTGGCGGAGTTCATCTCACAAAGGGACAGGAACATTCCAAACACTTTGTTCTGGTACATGTACAAAAATACAAGACTGGACAAAAATCTAAGACTTTCCCACTCAAGGAATGTAAACAGTAGCAAACTGAATTATGTTTATGCATAGTCAGGATGCGCTAGTCTCCCTTCTTGCTTAGGAATTTACCTTCAGAATTTTGTGATCACATCTTCTTTTTATTACACCTGTCTCAGATATTAGTATTATTGAGAACACCTAAATAATCTTTATTTTTTAAATGGAAACCTCGGTTCCTCAGAAGAGGGTGTATAGCTTCATAGAAAAAGATAATTAGTCATATTAATTTTTAGTGTTGAACGTGGACCTACTTTCTATTAGAGCTTAAAAATAATGAAACAAACACTTTTACAGAAAGTCGTATGTCTCCATGGAAAAATTATTGAGGTCATTCTATTTTCCTTGAGGAATGCCTATCAACTATGATTATATGCAACACTTCTGAAACCATGCAGTGTTGTTCCAACTAACCATCTCCTCTTCAAATAATCCAGCTGGATTAGCCATACCAACATGCTTTATTTCAGCATGTTCATTAAAAGCTATTTCTTTTTAATTCTAAACATATTTTCATTAAAATTAGTGTTCATTAGAAACAGAACGTATTTTAACAGAAATAAGACCACATATGATTAGATCTATATGTTTATACTTAAGCAATAGATCACACTTGTTTTTTAAATATAATATAACCATATTATTTGTTATAAGATTATTTTTTTAAATCATGTAAGATTGGAGATTATTATTTGTCACAATATTTTTAGTCAAGAAAAGCACGTGTTAAAGGGAAGAGCTGAGGGAGGGAAGGAGAGAGGGGGCAAGGGAAAGTGGTGGGGGGTAGGCAGAGACAAATGTATTTGAAAAAATAAATTAAAATAAAAATTTTAAAAAAAGCACGTGTTTTAGTATTTTCAACTGAAAATTTGATGCTATATTATACTTTGCATTTTTTATATTCTGTACTAGTTACATTTTTTAATAGGGAAGATTTCAAGTTATCAAAATTATTTAGCATTTTCATCCATCAAAATTGAAAACTAGAAATAATCTTGTCCCTTCTGAACACTTAGGAAATGTTTAAAAGTTAGAGTTGGAATGATTTAGGTTAGAAGGTAAGGAATATAGAGTGAACATTCACCTGGCATGGTTCATATAGGTAAAGACGACAAATAGAAGGTATTTACTTGGTTCTTATTTAATTGTGCCCTTTAGTGAGTGATTTCAAAATAAGAATGATCTAATAATCTTTTCTCCAGTGCTGTAGAAATTCTAATAGCATTTCATTTGTAAACAGTTTGATCCTGATGATCTATTGATAGATAAATTATAAATTACCTTTCCCTTCCTTTCTTCACATTTTCTGTTGAATTTGTGACCTGATTTTGTCATTCCCCTAAGCTGCATTTTAAATTAGAAAACACACATCTGCTCAAATTGACAGTTCCATTTCAACTGGCTTAACTGTCTGGAGCAGCTGCAGCTCCAAAGGGTTCACATGAACTTCCTCATGGCCTTTACTCACACGAGCTTCCTACAGATGCAGTCACCAGAAAGAGCATGTTGCTCACAAGGCTAGGTAGAAGCCAAAAAAAATAAAATAGTTTACTACTTCTCAGTGTTTAATAGCATGAAAACACAATGATACATCTCATACTTTTGGTTGAGAATTATAAAGATTGCTCAGAAGTAGGCACACAAACCTGTTTTTCATATTAATTAAGCCAATTAATGTAGAAATTCAACTTTATTTCAAAGAATGGTGTCATGGCCTGAATTGTAGTCTCCACAAATTCCTAAGTTGAAGCCCTAACACTCAACGTGATTATATTTGGAGAGAAGGCCTTAAAGTAGGCGGTTAAGGTTAAACGAGGTCATAAGGGTGCAGCTCTGATCCAACAGCATGGTGTTCTTATAAGAAGAGGAAAGCCACCGGAGCTCTCTGTCCATGCATGTACACACTGGAAAGGCCAAGCGAGGACACAGAAAGAAGGCCACATCTGCAAGCCGAGGAGAGGCCTCCCAGACACCATTGTCGCTGGCCCCCCAGCCTCCTGAACTGTGAGAAAATGCATTTCTGTTGCTTGAGCCACGTGGTCTGCGGTGCCTTGTTATGGCAGTCCGAGCACTAGTACAGACGGTTATCTCATTGCTCTGGAAAAGTGTGCCAATGCTTTGCACCGGTGAGTGCTATCCCCAAGACCACTGGTTTCTAACATACAGCTTTTAAAACTTAAATCAAATGTTCTTTAATATTTAATTAAATATACCAATGTAATAGAGATAAAAATTTTCCCCCGTTCTAAATGTGCCTTAGTGGCTTTCTAACTATGATCCATCCACAATATTAGTATGTACATATGCATGTATGTATATAATGTATAGTATGTTCATAATATGTATGCAATATATATATTTCACAAAATAATACTTTCCTTAACTATCAGAGATATATTCTGTTCAGTTGTTTTATTTTTTTTTTTAAATGCATATGTGTGTTTTTTAGAAACCATTTCAAAGAAAGCCAGTTTATGGCTGGATGTTTAAGAAGTTCTCTTTGTAGCTATGTCATCTAAAATAGTTCCTATTTACAGTTTCTTTTTTCCTTAGCATCTCAAGATCCTTAAAAGTACATTGAAAATACACTGTAGTGAAAATAACCACAATTTCTCTCTCTCTCTCTCTCTCAAACTATACAATTTCAAAATCAGATTTAAATTTTAAACTTTCAAAAATGTCATGAGCCAAAATTAATATATTAAGCAGCTAAAATTTGTATCTAAAGAAATTGGCCAAAGTATACAGCTTTGGAGCACATATGTGTGTGTGCACATCTGTAATAGCACACATTTATGTAGACATAACAAAAAAAGGAAATAAATTGACTAAAGTAAGAAAAATTTAATATATAATACATTCACTTTTTCATGCTACAAATATCTTGACACAAATATTTCCTATTGTACTTTTCTTTATGGAATAAAATTTACTTTGTTCCTTGGAGGAAAAAAGAAAACAAAAGAGATATAATAAAAAGTAAAAGCATTTTAATTACATCTTTTTTATTACAAATTACCCTAAGCACCTAGATAGCATCTGGAACATAGAAGTATTTAGTATTGGTAAGTGAATGACTTCTCACTTACATGGTAGCCCAGTACAACAAATTCACACCAAACATAACTATTTTTAAAAGTAAATGTGAAAAATGTTTTTTTAATTTTTATCAAGTTAGCGAAATAGAAGTGTTTTTCACAAGCTTCTGAACTCTCACCTCCTCCTTCGTCTTTTTCGATATCACGCGGAGCCAGTCTCCAATCATGCTCAGGACGGCAGCAAAGTAAGCAAGTCCCACGAGGATCCAAAACCACACGACAGGCTTGTAGAGGTCTAGATATTCAATGTCCGATCCACCTGTGAGAAAGAAAACAAAGTAGAGCGAAAGAACTACAAATTCACAAATGTTAACAGCACAGACGTTTGCTAAAATTACCAGCTGAATTGTGGCTTGTAAAACAGCAATCATCTTGTCAATTGATCCACGCTACTTCCTTCATATGGGATTCCTCCTTTTCCCTCCTGTAATCCTTGCTTATTTTCCCAGAACCAGTTAAATACATTTTTTGGAAGGAGACATTTCATGAATTCCCCAGGTCATCATGATTTTTTTCTTGCTCCATATTTCTTTTTTTATTTATGACAATGTGTCTTATCATTAAGTCTAGCCCTTGACTCCAAGTTCTCTTTCCACCTCCATTTTAACAGGTAGAAGACAGAGATGACACATTCTTTTGGTATGCATTTAATTGAGTAAAATTAAACCTTATTGCCAATCAACCCATACTAACTAAACAATACATGCTAAACAATCAATTCAATGCCAACCTGGACAGACAGTGGTTCTTATTTCAAAATCATCAATACAATAAATTGGTAACAAACGCTAGAGATAATGCCTCGAAGGGTCTCATTTAAACAGCAATTTGCAGGTGAAACAGCCATTCACTATTCTCTAACTTTTCAGAGAAATTCCCATGTCTGTTATAAAGTTAAACCTCGAGCTCTGAAGAAAAACAATCGGCAAAAGAGCTCTTTTGCTTTATTTTAATCTTTATTTCTCTATAGGTACAATAACTGTACCCATGAGAATGTGAACACATTTCAGCACATTCCTACTTCCGCACATACTGATGGGGCACTTATTAAACCCCAAACACTGAACAGGGATTTTTTTTCACAAGAGATGGAAACAACTCTTTCTCTTGAGAAATTTGTTATTTAGCCTGAGAAAGCCTCACAGACAATTAACCGTAATGCTGTGTACCCAGTGACGGTGAAAAGGAATAAAACCGTGCTAGGAGAGGACAGAGAAGAAAGGATTTTTACAGTCTTCCAGAAGGGGGAGGACGGAAAACAATTCTTGGTGATGAGGCTCAAAAGAGAGAAAATTTAGATGGAAATGTGTGAGATATTCAAAGGATTTTTAGGAGTCGCTAAAGCTATCTATGGATGAGTGCCAGAGAGTACATGGGTAAAAGAGAAGGCTAGAAAAAGTGTGTTGTGTTGGGTTGTGAGGAGCAGCTCCTGCCGAGATGGGGTGTAGGTAAAAAGACAGGTGAGTCCTGCCCTCATGTTTGGCTCTATGCACAGAAAGACCTAGTGGCAGAAAGGAAGAACCAACAGGGCAGCCCATTAGAAACTTGTGTTCTGTACAAGCTAATAAATCATTGTGCCTGAGTTAGGGCTGGAATGGGAAAAAGGGGCATTTTAGAGGCAGAATCATCAGGCATGAACGATCAGTGTGCGTCGCTGTGGGAGGTGAAGGGAGGGCTCTGGAATGGCCAGAGGCCCTCACTTGGGAGATGGTGCCTGCAACCGAACAGGAAACACGGGGGAAGGAACAGTGGCCAGGAAAGACAAAAGTAACTTAAACTGGGCCATGACAGCTTCGGCGTGTTTGAGACGCATGCTGGTGCGAGAGCCAGTGGGATCCTTAAACACAGACCTAACGTTAACAGGGCAGAGCAGCAGGTAAAGATTTTAGGATCAATAGCACAGAGACTGGGATGTTTCACAAGGAGCCATCAGTATACTCGACTGTCAAAAAATCAACCCATACAACCATAAGAATAGCTAGTAAGTAGCCACTATACCTTAAAATCAGATATAAAAGTTTGGCCGTACCATTTCTCTATATAAATTAGACTTCGAGTTGCCTGCCATGACATGTTCAAACATTAGGGGGTCAGAGTAAAAAGAGACCATTTTTCTATCAGGCATATAATGTTAACTTCAGCTTTCATTTGGGAAGTCGTTGTAAGAATACAGTTTCAAAGTAAATATTACCTTCAAAATATTGTGAAAATTTCCACTTTGTGCAGTGTTTCAAAAAAATATATATCATTTTTGGGAATGACTATAGAGGCTACATGCCTCTCCTGAGGGCTGGGAGTTGGGCTGGGAGTTGGCCTGTGGGGGATGCGGCTCCACGGAGTCACAGTGGGGACTACAGAACTGTGTGTGGGGACTTGTTCTATGAGAGGCTCACTAGTGAAGTCTATTTTTCAAATATTTCCATTTTAATAAAACCAAAATGACATTTTTCCAAGTACTTTCTCTTTCAAAACCAGAAAATCTTCATCCAAAGAGTTGTGACTCATTTAACCCTGACATCCACCAAGATGATGATTTTAGAAGTTAGTTCGTGCTCAAGACGACTTTTTATGTATTCTCTATTCTAAACAGGATGTCACCGTTTGAAAAGAGTCAGTTAGCTTAATCACTAAAAGGTTTATACTGGGGTAAAAATGTCTACCCCACAAGTGTCAGTGGATTCTAAGCCATGTTTGGGGGACAATGTTTTCTCATTCTTAATTGCCACTCTTGAAATGAAATACCAGCAGTCAAACGATCTAGGAAAAACCAGTGTATATGGGAATATTGTCAAACACCTCACAATCCTCTTTTTGATAGCTAAGGTTGATGAATTAATTTCCACCATATTTAATTCACTTGAGCCAAGAATCTAACCAAAGTTATCTGTAAGGTTAAAATAATTTGCTAAAGGGGCCATTGGCTTTGTTTTTAAATTAGAAAACATTCAAAAATTGTCTTGGCCATTGTGAGCATTAATTTAATCTAGCTAATATGGCTCCATGCAGGAAACCTTTCTGTGGGTCGCTGGCTTGCTAAGAGCGCAGGGTTATTTTTCGATCCTGGCTTCACTCCCCATGTGTCCCCTCCGCCAGATCCACCCTGCCACTCCGTCATTTCTTTTCCCCCTCCACAGACTCCTGAGGCACAGCCTGCAGGACGCTACAGCCCACTGTCTACTCTTGGGTCCTCACGCACTTGGCAGGAATAGTCACCTCATTGCTGTTTTCTTCAGTGCCACCAAAAATATGCACGCGGATCTTTTCCATTTTAAGAGCCTCCTGGCTAATCATTATAGAAGAGCAATAAAAATAGCAAAGAGGGGTGGAAATACAGAGGTTTCAGGAATCATATAAACTTTTCCAAGTTGTTAAAATAAATCTCTTCCTGACTCTCAAATGATATGTGACAGCCTCTTTTAAACAGTGCCATTTCTCTCTGGACTTCTTCCTGGTGCTTAAAAAAGGAAACCAGCCAGAGCCTAATCTAATCTAGCAGATTAAACTACAGGTACTAAAAAATGTAGCCCAGGAAGTGTTCAGGCTGGCATTGGTGCTTGGGAACACGTCCTCTCCCCATACAGGTTTCCTAAATAGTGGAGGGAAGCTTCATTCCTACTCTGGACATTTCTACCGACTTGGGACCGGACGACTCGTAAAACCACTGCCCATAGACTTAAGCCACGTCTCTAGCGGTCTTAATCAGTAATTAAACTGATCATTCAATTGCCATCACTGTCACTGTCTGTTCAGAACTCAGAAGTGAAAGGCAGGTGTGTATTGGCTCCTTGAAATCTCAACAGTATGTGTGTCCACTTTTCAAGAGAGAAGTCACAGTTTTAGTAGGTGAAATAACATGTCAGGTATCACAGGAAAGGAGGCAACAGAGCTAGAATTCAAACCTACGCCTGCCTGGCTCCATGTCACGGGTCTGGTCGTCCACATTACCTAGGATCCCATCATTTATCCACCAGCCTTGTTTGCCCGCCCTGAATGGCAGACACCTCGCTAGTGCTAGAAATGCTAAATCAATCACGGTGTGCCTCTCCTCTTCCAGAGTCTTACCTGGAAACCAGGCGAGTCTGAAGATAAGAATTATTTCATCAGAAGACTCCTTACTTTGCTGCTGTCATCACTCCAACAGTTTCTAGAAGGTGGCCCTATTCTCCTCTAAAGAACTCGAGTATACAATGTACCTCTACCCATAAACTTAATTTCCTTTCCCTATGATGCTCCTGGGTTACAAAGAAAAAATTAAAAATGGTGATGGAAGGAGGCATGACTTGAGGTGGTGAAGACATAAAACAATACACAGATGATGTATTATAGAATTATATACCTAAAACCTATGTAATTTTATTAACCGGTGTCATCCCAATAAATTAAATAATTTTTTTTTAAAGTAGATCTGTCATGAGGATCATCTAGCCATTCTGGGCTAAGTCATCAACTCTATGCCTCTCCTCTGAATTTCTAAAATGATATATGTTTATAAAATATAGACAGAGCCATATAGCTTTGTTCTAAAGAAAATGAGGAGCATTTCTTGCACTGGTCTATAAGTATTTTAGTTTAGATATCGAATACAGATTTCAGGGTTTTTTTGGTTTGTTTGACTTATTTTTAATTAGTAAAAGTCACCCTGCCTTTAATATGGAGAAAAAACACTCTCTGCTTTAGTATATTATTCCTTTTTCATAGTAAAGCAATTTTAACAAAATGAAGTGTTTTCTCTATGCTTCAAGGGCTACAGGGCTCTTTAGTAATGTTGTAAATTATTTTCTTTTTCACAAATGGAAATATGACTTCAATATTAAACAATAGCTCATTCACTAAACCAAGCCTTTCATATGCTCTAGTGAGCCCAAAAAACACAAGGCCAAAAAAGGGTGAACCTCTCCAGCATTTGAATCTGTATTTGGGGAATTTCAATTTCAGCTTTCAAGATGCTGTCCATTTCCTGTTAGGTACTTGGTCTAAAATTAGGAAAACTGCCATTAGAATGTCCCATGATCATAAAGAAAGAAAGATCAATACATTGTCTCACTCATTCATCCTTTATGAGGGTGGAAATGTACAGTATATGAGATGTACACAGTTGTTATACCTAGAAATTACCTTTAAGTCTCAATACAGAGAAATTGGGAGTCTTTTTCATCAAACAGTAAAATGTACTGCCAGCCTCCCTAAGCCATAGCTACTAATCACTGAATGACTTCTCTTTTTTTTCCTCCATATGTTTCTTCAGTGCTTCTCTGTATC